GCTGTGCATTTACTCTCCAGTCCCGTACTTTGGAGGCAAAATATAACCGGAGTCAGGGGTGCAGGGGCAATTTTTATGGGGGGGGAGGGGTTGCTGATGGAAACCATGTGCTCGGTGTTTGTTAATAGGACTTCAAGCCAGGGGGGCGGCAGCACCCCCAGCCCCACTGCCCCGAGTTCGGGACCAGGGACCCTCTGGTGCTGCCCCGCCCCCCAAGCTGGGGACGCGGCGGGGCTAGGCACATCCGGCTCGCCCTGCCCACGCAAAACCTTTTTCCCTCCGTCCATTCCCAGAGCGGCAGGTGCCCCTGCCCCGAGCGCGGCGGCATCTCCCTCCCCCAGCCCGCAGGGAAGGGGCGGCGGGGGCAGCAGGCCAGGCCCCGGCCGGCCAAGGGCCCCGCGCTGGAGGGACGCCGCAGCCCCACTCGCCTCGCACCCGCCCGGCTCACCTGCGTGTAGAGCTCGGCCAGCGCCATGGGGCCGCTGCTCCGCGCCTCCGGGAAGGAGCCGGGCTCGCTCCGCAGCTGGCAGCTCCCGGGCGGGCCCCGCCGCGCCAGGTGTGTCCCGCTCCAGCCCCTCCCGAGCGGGGTGGAGCCCAGCCGAGCCGACACCGGACCTGCCGCTGGGCCGCCAGGGGCCTTCATCCATCCGTCCCCCGCCGGGGCAGAGACCAATCCGGCTTCACCCCCCCGCCAGAGACCCCTCCCAGGGGACGTGCCGCCGAGCCGGGCCAGAGACTAGTGTGGAACAGCGCTGCGTCTTGGCGCCTCGAACCCGTGTGATGTGTGAACATCGTTTTAACATGGGTTGACCGCGCTCGTGCTGACCTCCAGAGGCCCCTGCTTGAGCTCAAACGGTGGGTAAACGTGGTGGCCCTAAACCTGGCTGGAAAACCAGCAGAGAGGAAGGAGGACCAGAGCCTGTCCACACAGCCGCTCCCGAGATGTTTTCAAGCATGATGTTGCCCACCCGTGCCTGATCAAACACCGCTGTAGCGAAGGCACTGCCTACTCTGCTGTGCTGGAATTGAGGCAAATTCTCAGGCTGTGGGCCAAGCACCAACGTATCTGCACTGTCGTGTGGCCCGAAGACAGACAAGGAAAGCAGCCATTTGCACCAATAGCTTACCCTACATCCCAGCAACGGGAACAAATAGTGGCTTTTTCTGTCAGTACTAAGGGGTGCACGGGTGCAGCTATAGCAGTGGCTATAATTGGGGCAAATGCCCAGTCTAGGCATGGCCTAACTTAGTTCTGTATTTAACGGGGCTACAGCATGCAGGGTTTCCCTAGAGGAGAGGAGCAGTCTCCTCCCTGAATTTTTTTTAAGACACCCCAGCTGTATTAAAGAAGCTCTGAATATGTCATTTTCCAAGGTATTAGCTTGGAAATTAGTAACTTTATAAACATTCTCCATCATGTTGTTGGTTCCTTACAGCTACTAATGTGTACAGTCCACTCAAAGGAGGCTGGCTCAGTCTGCCACAGCTATAGGCAAAGGGCTCTGGGCTGAGAGTCTGGTAACTGGGGGATTTCCTTTTTTAATTTTGTTGGCAATGAAATGGTGTATTAACCCACCCTTGGTATATAAAATCCAGTGTCCTTAATTTGGATTTAAAACATTTATCCATGACTACATTTTGTGCTCAAGCCAAATAGTTGAAGGGGGAGATTTTCTGAAGCACAAATGAATATTGGATACTTTTCTCTCTTTAGTGGTATTGACAATCTCCGTCAAAATGAAGAAACATATACTTCAATCTAGTGTTAAAAAATAAAAATAAATAGAATTATTAAATGTAGCTGTTGTGTGTAGTTGGTACAGTAACTTACCCCCCTGTTTTTTATAATTATTGTATACAGATACAGTAGTCTTGTACCTCAAAAAATACCCATTGGAACAACTGGAACGGTTTATCTTGGGTAAATCTTTATTAGTAAAAAATAAAATATATATTTACTGAAGGTGCCCAGATGACCAAGGGAAACCATTCCTGAGTAAATAAGCAATAACAATAGAAATGTAACTAATTGCATTCTTTATAAAATTCCATTTGGGTTTTTCCTTACATTTTATTAAACCAACAAGGGAATTGAATATACAAAAGCCCAAATTTAAATACAGTATTGAGGTTGTGACAAATTAACAAAAGCTCAAAATATAGCTAACTATAATGATGTTGGTGTGATCCAGGTGCCAACTGGCAGATGGCATAAAGGGTGTATAGGGGGTTTACAGGGATCCTCTGGGGTTGGTATATGCATAATAATTTATCAAAGGGTGGCATGTAAGGTCTCTACCACAAGCCAGTAGCTTACTGGTCATAACAGTCTTTGCAAAATGTATGTGTGGATGATATTTAAGGAGTTATGTATCTATACTGAAAACTATGGTTTTAAGGTATGTAAGTTAAGACAGGTGACTAGAAGGTGATAGATTCTGTTCAGATGGGGGAATGTAGCGATTCGGGACTCACCCCTGCAGCATCTCCTGCTGGAGGTCTGGGAATTGGCTCGCTTTCCAGCTCCGGAGCACCCTCTGCAGGCTGATGTCATCCCCACTCGCTGGCCCCCATATCCCTCCCAGACCCCAGTGCCCCTTTATCTGGGGGTTCTGCCCCAGCAGTATCTCCTTAGTCTCTGGGTCTCCCCTCCCCAGGGAACCTCCAACCCCCTAATCCCACCTTGCCTCAGTGCCTACTGCCAGTCATCATTTAGCCCCCGCTCCCTGGGGCAGCCTGCAGCCTGTAATAGCCACTCATCATTGGCAAGGAGGGATAGGACCTGCTGCCACTGCCTAGCCCCGGGCTGCCCCTTTGCAACCCCAGTACCTGGTTTAGGCCCCGCACAAGACCTTACAGCCGGGAGGGGGGGGTGTCAGGCTGGAGCTCCCCAGCCCCTCTTGCCTTTCCCCCAGCACTGCCCTACCTCAGGTCCCTGCTCAGCTCCCAGACAGCTAGGTCCTTTCCTCTCAAAAGCTAGAGAAGGAGTCTCCTAAGCACCGGGCTCACTGGCCTTTTATAGGGCCAGCTGCAACCTGATTGGGGCATGGCCCCAGCTGTGGCTGCCTTCCCCATCAGCCTAGCCACTTCTCACAGCCCCAGCCTTCTCCCAGGGCTGGCTTTAACCCTTTCCGGGCCGGAGCAGGTGACCACCCCACTACAGGGAAGTAAACGCTTCTTTCTCTAGCTGGTCATTGTGTGGCTCACAATGGAAGTCTATCTGCATATGAAGCCACCAACTAATCAAGGTTACAAAAATCATAGCCTACCTGGCTGAGAAATGCTGAGCAATGTGAGACATGACAGTAATTAGTTAAGTGAGTATGTTCTAGAACAGGGATCGGCAACCTTTGGCATGTGGCCTGCCAGGGTAAGCACCCTGGTGGGCTGGGCCGGTTTGTTTGCCTGCCGCGTCCACAGGTTCCGGCGATCGCGGCTTCCACTGGCTGTGGTTCGCTGCTCCAGGCCAATGGGGGCTGTGAGAAGCGGTGCGGCCAGTGGGAGCCGCGATCAGCCGAACCTGCGGACGCGGCAGGTAAACGAACTGGCCCGGCCCGCCAGGGTGCTTACCCTGGTGAGCCGCGTGCCAAAGGTTGCCGATCCCTGTTCCAGAATGCATGTTATGATTTTATTTTACATGCAACTATTTGTTTCCAGTACTTTGACTTGCTACTTCTCGAATCTCTCCCCAGTGCCCCTCTATGTCAGGGTTCTGCCCCAGCAGTAACCCACAATCTTGGTCTTCCCCACCCAGGGGAACCCCCAACCCTCTATCCTCACCTTGCCTCAGTGGCTACTGCCAGTCACCATCTAGACCCTGCTCACTGGGGCAGACTGCAGTCTGTAAACCACTCATCAGCAAGGGGGGTTAGGACCTGCTGCTTTTGCCTATTCCTGGGCTGCCCCTCTGCAGCCCTAGCACCCATGTGGGGCCTTAACTCGGCCTGCAGCCTGGGGCTTAGCTAGGCTGGAGCTCCCCAGCTCCCTCTGCCCTTCCCCAGCACTGCTCCACCCTAGGTACCCTCCTCAGATTCCCAGGAAGCCAGGTCTCTCTCTCGCTAAGGAGCTAGAGAGTGTCTCCTTGTCCTTCTGGCCCACTGCCCTCTTATAAGGGCCAGCTGGGCCCTGATTGCGAAAGCAGCCCCAGCTGCAGCCAGTGCAATCAGCCCAGCCTTTCCTCTGCCACAGCCCTCTCCCAGGGCTGTTTTAAGCCCTTCAGGGCAGGAGCAGGGTAACCACACCGCTACATTGTTAAATAAACTTTTACTTGTTTTCACTATAAACATATCTAAGTGGTGTGTGTTAAGCAGAGTGATGATCCTGAGGTAAAAGTGGTAAGCTGGTGTGTACTGGTTCTTTGGGAGCAGCAGGTTCTGTGAATTCAGTGAACATCCAGTAGACCAGGGCTGGTCAGTCCAGGGGGACAGTTGGAGGGCTTGAGGGTTGGAGTGAGCCTATCACTAACCTGTATAGATAGAGCTGGGCCTGTGTAGGCCTGGAGGGGAATGCTTGTGTTACCTGTGGCTGGTGGGGTTGGGGAGCTGACCCCTGCCAGGCACCGACCGACAAGGCTTCCTCACCGCCCTGGGTATCCCCAGGAGTGTCACAGTTGGTCGGATACACTAAGTTCTTTATGACAGTAAGATAAAGTTCCATTAAAGACACCATCTGGTTTTAGAGCTTCCAGGGCATAGAAGTCTGTGTTTTTGTTTAATTCGCAACCTTAATTTTCTTCTGTTCATTAGTATAATTTGTTTTCCACTTTGAAATAGTAGCATGTTAACCTACTGACAGAATTGCTTTCTGTACAACAAAAGACACATAGATGAATTTACAGAAAAAGATTCTGTCAGTATGAGTGTGTTTGTGCACGTATGACACCCTGGACCTGAACCAACTGCCCTTTCAAGTCAATAGAAAGGCTCCTGGTGGCTTCCATTGGGTTGGATTGGGCCTCATTTGAATATATCTGTTTAAATATTCACAAAAAAAACAAAACGAACAGCTGTAGAGTTTTTTATTTGGACATTTTTCAGTGACAGCTAATAGGATACAGTGTTTATGATGCACACGTTTACTAAATACAACATCAGACACAACAACATTTCAAAGCATATGTCATTCTGAATTGTTTCGGTTTTCATCCATGTACTGTGGTGGTATAGAGTGAAAACCTGTTTAAAGGCTTTTATTTATCAGATGAATTATCAGCATCTTAAAAAACAAAAGTCATTCTCTCAGAATTCTTGTATGATATTTTGAAATGTGTTCAGTTTTAAATCCTAAATGATATAGATCTTCAACTTTCAAATGCTGGTGTTTCCAGGTATGGAACAACTGTTAACGGATTTAAAAAAAAAATAAACTTTTCAAAGATGAAGTATACCATATCTTTCTATTCTGATCAAGTAGACTAGATTAATCACATTTAATAAAGCAAAATTCTTTAAGCACTTTCAAGTTCCATCTCGGATTAAAGCCTGGGTAGCAATTTGTTAAAATTTGGATAGAAGATTATGTTGCAAGAGCAAAATAATCGCTGGACTAAAATTATACCAAACTCAATGAGGTAATTATTGTGCAACATCTTTAGAATGGTTATATATGTCAAAAGGGACGTTGACAAATTAATAATTTCCAGCATCCAACAGAATCTACTATATCAATAGATAATAAATTAAAATATAAAAGTTGTGTCCACATTAAAAGAGCATAACCATGATTCAAAGGAAAAAATATAAGTTTTTAAAATATGTTCATATTTGTTTCCACGGTTATTTAAAGAGACCTTAAACCTAAGGTGAAAAATATTTTATATCATAAATCAACACTAAAATTCTTTTTTGAAAAGTGCATGTAAAATACTGTTATGTAAAATTTTAGATGATTTACCAAGTACACATCTATTTCAACTTAGAAATATTTTCCTTTAAAACATGTCAAGCAGCATACACTTTTAATGTGATATAAATGTAACACTACTCAAACCACTGAGTTTAAGGATAATACCTATAAACAACTTACTACTACTTTGTTAAGGAAACAAGACGCAGTAAGGCTTTATACAGGTAAACAAATTTTAAGAACAAAAATACATTTTAACATAAATTTTCATAACTATGTGTTTAAGTAGTAGATATATTTCCTGATCTACAGTATAAATATACTGTTGTGCCAGTTTTATTTAAACAGGAGGGAAAAAGTTTCTATTTTTCTAAATGTTTTCACCTATTTCCTGCTCTTATGCTATTACTGGATACCAGGGCTTTTTCAGGACATATTAACAAGTGCAGTACTTCCTGAAACTTTGAAAGATTAGTACACTCCACCATATTATATTATAATGTGTTTGGAGCCAGCTTATATTATCCTTGGCCTCAGAGATAAAGTAACAAACATATTTGAATGAAGTGCTTTGGGTTTACTTTGCATATGAAAATAATTTAAATAATTTAACAAAGATCATCCAAATTAAAGATGCAATTCTTACTTGTAGGTACCTGAACATATGAGTAGTGAGCTATCAAACACAAAAAATGGGCACACACTTCTGAAAATAAAAAGGCATAAGCATTTCAAAATGGTACTGACAAAGATCAAGCTTTCTTTATTATACATTTTATCAGTCACCATATATAAGGTGCATGTATATATCTCAAATAAAACATAACTGAAATGTATTGGTCTGCTCAGCTGATAGCAAAATTATTCTGTAGGTTCGCAGGCTGATTAGTACCAGATTAGTACCAGAACATTTTACGAGTATACCTATAGAATATTTTTCTGTTCTTTTAAAGAAATAAATGTTCATGCTAAGTTGCATGATACATTAAAATATTGCACACTGCAATTTAGTAATGTGCAACTTTTTCATATGTATATTTGAACCATACATCACTGACCATGTTTTAAAATTCAGAAACAGAGTGTTGACCAAGGCCTCTGACTTAATTGTTGTACATTTTGAAATATAAATTCCACACTGGAGCAGATCTGAGGCGTGAAAGGGGGAATATTCTTTCTGATTGGAAGTGCAGAGGCCAAAACAACTATAATTTCTCATTGTGCAGTCTGGATCTTACAGAACACTTTATAGATTCTTTTTTTAAACTATTTTTCTAGCATGAAGTAACCCTTTTGTTAAATAGGTTCATTGAACTATGTGGATAGATTCACAAACTGCACAATTTTAAATACTCCCTTCCCAGTCAATGTTTGTTGTATGTTTCCAGAAGCCAATATATAGACTAATGAAGGTATTGGACTACTCAAGGAATTTCTCCTTTCATTCTAGGTATTTGAGAATACATCTTAAAAAGTGTGGCAAAGACATAAAATGGAGGATATTGAAAAAATATAATGCCACTTCCTTGGACTAAAATTGGACAAAGTAAAAACCCTGACCAACTGCAAAATATGAAATAAATATTATAATCATGACTGACTTTTGTTCATTTTGTCACAAGACGAGTATTTTAGTGCCCTATCTTTAAAGAAAACTATCATCTAACTTCCAGTGTGCTACTTGTGCTTAGTTACCATTTTTCCTTTCCAGGTGATATTTGTTGACATTTGCATAAATCCAGTTAAAAGAATAGATTGCATTGGACTGTAAACAAAGTTGATAATAAAAAGTGAAGTTTCTTATTTTAGTGCCTAATAAAGGATACTGTCATACATTTTAAAGAACACAATACTCAGCAGCAGTTTAATATGTTTAGTAAACCACAGTACTAACAAATGAACACCTATGTTATATCGCATAGTAAGCCAAAAGACTAATACTTCATAATTTATGTCATACTGACATAAATAAGGAAGCTGTTTAACAAATTATTTTATATATTGCCAGTTTGCTATGTTTAAATTGTCAAAAACTCTAATGGAGAAACAGATTCCTACATGACTATGTATTCTACTACAAAATGCATTACTTCCAGTCCTCCACTTATAGTACCGTGTCTGTCCTTATTGGTCCCTGCCTATGAGCAGACTGTGTATGGATTTTAATGTACACTATTTAAATATGTTACTAAAGATCTAAAAATGTCTCTAGGCAGCTGAAGACAATTTTTGCCCAAGCCCGATATTCATACTCTGGAAACGTAACAATCAGTAATGTGTCTACATGAAAATAATGACCTATACAAATGCACATCTTTCTGCCAGCCTTCCAGTTGTGGTACAGTTATGTAGATTTGCAGCTACCCATACTAAAAATCTGGGCATATACAGTGTTGTCCCTTCAAAAACGTATTTTCAGTGGCTCACTATGGTTTTAATGGATTCAGATTTCAGGCAACAGACTCATTGTCAATAGCTGACAGTGCATCCTTGGTTCAGACACGTGAGATGAATGCTAGGCCCAAGCTGGCTGGAATTTGAATGGTTTCTAATGCAAGGGAGGATGGATTAAATGGAAAAGTAACAGGAAAGATGTGTTTAGCATCCATTAGCAGCTGAGGAGAGTCTTTCCTGTCTCGTAAACGCATCTACAAAAGATAAGAAATGGGTTGTGTTAATACTTCATCTCGCAGCAAAGGCAGATAAAAAAAAAAATCATGTTGCATTTGAGTTGTTTAGTATCATGCTTTTTTTGTAAAAAGAAAAACCCATTGGCGCTTATAATCAGTTATACTTGATTTTCAGTTATCATTACTTTGTGGGCTTTAAACATTCTCTTGAGAAAGAAAATATTAAAAAGAAAACATGAGTTTTTGTAAAAAGTAAGAATTTTTAAGCTTGTCATACTAAATATTTGAGTACCGATCAGTGCAAAATATATACATGTATATTTGGCAGCTTGATCTGGACCCTTTATAACAGTTGTGCACATAAACTGAAGCTGCCTCTGGGCAGCTTTGGATCTGCATGTCTTTCCTTCATAACAAAAACTGAAGAAACATTTAGATTTTCTGCAAAGGGTAGGAGACCTGTCTGGCATATGTTAACTGTACCTCTTCGGTGAGTATCCAGAATGATTAATTTGTTTTGTTTCAGTTTTATCTTGTCAGTCTCCCTTATCAATCTTATTGTTCCCCTAATACAGTGTTTCCCAAACTTGGGACGCCACTGGTGTAGGGAAAGCCCCTGGCGGGCCGAGCCGGTTTGTTTACCTGCCCCGTCAGCAGGTCCAGCCAATCGCAGCTCCCACTGGCCACGGTTCGCTGCTCCAGGCCAATGGGAGCTGCTGGAAGCGGCGCGGGCCGAGGGACATGCTGGCCACTGCTTCCCGCAGCCCCCATTGGCCTGGAGCAGTGAACCGCAGCCAGTGGGAGCCGCGATTGGACGGACGTGCGGACAGGGCAGGTAAACAAACTGGTGCGGCCTGCCAGGGGCTTTCCCTACACAAGCGGCGTCCCAAGTTTGGGAAACACTGCCCTAATAGATACCAGGAAGAGCAACTCTAAAAAATAATTTTTAAAAATGAACTAACTAGCCAGTTTTCCTCTGGATTTTCAAAATGTTTCATATTTTCCAAATTAGAAGAGCTGAATTGAGAACTTCTGATACGTATGGCTCAGTTTTCAAAGAAGTCTCAAATTGATCTCTTGTGTGAAAAAAATGTGAATGAATGGGCTTTGCCTGTACAAATTCCATCACTTGCATTTACAAACGTTAATACTTGAAAAGTGGGCACAGTGGAGTGTGCACAAATAAAGATACAGAGATAGAAAAATTATGTCATCTTCTGAAAATCAGGTACCTAGAATTCATTTTAAAAATAAATAGTGATAGAAAGTTAAAAAAGTCTACATTAGTTTAAATCTGCAAATACTAGCACAAATTGTGACAGCCTACAATAAACATAAACGTCTCGGTATCACATCTGTATTACAGAAGAAGAAAAGAAAATGTGGTTGACAAGCTTACTTCACTTTGAATATCGCACTGTACTTTATGACAATACCTATTTTAGCTCACTGATGTGTTCCTGTGGAACTAAGCAAACAATATGTGGGGCAAAAAACAGTCTTACCTGTATCGTACGTATAAATGATATTGAGACCCTTTCTTCAAACTCATTAACTGGAGTATACAAATTCAAAACTTTTACAATCTGTGGAGAAAAACAACAGTTCTTGGTTTAAGTCTATTGTTGATTTAAATATATATGCACCCTATTCTTAATGTTTAAAAATACCTTTCTAAATTAATTGTTTACAAGTACTGGTTACAGTTTTTTTCAAATCAATACATTAGGAATTTTCTTACTCATTTAAGAAATTGCTATATGCTATAAGAAATTAAGGCACATATTTAAAATAAACAAGCCTTTTACATTTTTTTATGTGAACATATATAGCTGTACAATATTATTAAACAGCTGATCCTGGCACACTGACAAATCCTACTTCTTCCATGACAGCTACACAAAATTGATCAGCTAATACCAGCACAGGAGGAGATTAGAGGTTGACGACTGTTTTTAAAATGTAAGATTTAGCGCTTGCTTGCTCTCTCCATCCTTCATACATCACTTGTCTTCTTAGATTGTGTGTCCTTTGGGGCAGGGACTATTGTCTTGACACATGTGGGGGCAGTGCCTAGCACACTGTGGAAATTACCAGAGGACAATCAATCAGCAGCAAAAATATCTTAAATACAGTGAAGTCAGTGGAAATGTTGCTACTTCTTCTACCTGAATTTGGTCCTACATTTTGGACCCTATCCTGTTCCCATCAAAGACTCTAGTAAAATTTCCACTGATTTCAAATGGAACAAGTTAGAGCCATAAATGCAGGACGAAGACCCCAAACCAATGAAAAGACAGACATAAGCAAGGGGAGCATCAAATGATACGGAATATACTTCTTTAACTTAAGTAAAATTCTCTGTACTTTTTTCATGATTCTATTTTTTTTTTATAAATTTGAAACTTCTGAAATTGGAACTTTTTCTCAAAGTGCAAAAGCAACTGGTGTTTCTACATTTCTGATGCAGGGATTGGGATTGGGATTGGGCTGGCACACAGTAGTATGGCACACAGACATCTCTTATTCTTGGAGTCAAAGGCCTGGCCTACACAGCTTTTGTACAGATATAACTATTTCGGTCAGTTGTAGTGTTTTTTTTAATTGAAATAACTATACTGGTACAACCCTGAGTATGGATGCAATTACACTGGTATAAAGGAGCTTTATGCCAGTGTATCTTATTCCCCTTAGCTATACTAGTATACGGCACTTTTGCACACCTATAACTGCATTCACATTAGGGAGATGGTGCCATCTTAACTATACTGGTATAGTTAAAGCAGTACAACCTGGAATTTATTTTGTGCACAGACCTTGGGAGAGGACCCACTACCCCATTCGACCTCTGTTTTCATTATGCTTATTTACAACAACATGAGCAGATATACCCAATCTCTGTGAGATGGAAGCACCTGCAGGTCTAGAAAAACACAGTTTAGAGGTGCACATAAATGTAACAGCTGGATTACCTGTGCAGTAGTTAGAGCATTGCACATTGAACAAATGGCTTCTGCATCTTCATCCGTCTTCTTTTTCACCTGCAACAACTGTGCAGCCTGAATGAGAGGCTCCAGTGTTTCTTTAGCCCCGCTATTCATCAAATTTTTGTCACGTAGCCATTCTTCAAGTTGACTCACATTGTACCTGTTAAAAGAGGAAGCCCCTCAAGAATGTTTTCACTCTGACTGTTCAAGTCTGACCAAATATCAAGAGCTTTAGATTTTATTTAATTAACGCCCATATTTTGTTTTTGTGGGTACTTCCCTCACACAGTACCTAGTTATAATTTCCATTAAGTTTATTTCCATAGCAGCTCCCCTTCAATTGATTTTCCTGAGGCCTGTTTAATAACCCTATGCTGTGCCATTAAAAGCCTTCGCACCCTGAGTTCCAAAGAATATTTGAAAATAATGGCCAAACACACTATCTACCGCTTCTCCTCCTTGTTTGGCTCTGTTCAGATGTACGGCCTAACTCTGTTCCCCTTATTCACCTCAATGGGACTACTCTGTGCAGTTAAGACAAGCAGAATTTCACCCTTGTATATGTAGGCTGAGATTTTCAAAGCTTCTTAGGAGATGAATATGATAACGCTATACAAACAGAATATACTGGGCAACAGACACCAAAAACATGAATAAAATGTGTCCCGTATTGGGAAAAAGAGGAGCGACAACAGATCTAAACACATCATGTGTCCACTGAGCCACAAACTGACAAGATTAAGCAATGAGGAACATTTGTTACCCCCCCCCCCATATTGCGCAGTAGCAGGTGTTGCCCATCTGGGCTGACTTGCACATAAAAGGGAATTAATTTTGTTTCCTCCCTAACTCCATCCTACAGAAGCTTTGTTTGTGGAATCAGAATTTAACCCTAAATTAAATAATGACTTCCTGGTGAGAAACCCTCAAAATCAGCATAAAGGAGTCCAGCACACTTCTCTCTTAGATGGAACGCTTAAATACAACTATTATTCAAAAGAATTATCTGATCTTAACAAATTCATTATTACAGCCAATGGTACATTTAAGAGGCAAGTGAAAATACTATGGAGTGCGCTCTCACCGTATCTGCATCCCTTTGCTCCAGGAGCACATGTCCTTGCGCAGGAGGAGGTTATTCAGGGTTACTGCCCCAGTGATGTAGAATGTTTGCTTGACAACTTGCTTGATCAACTCCGGATCCATACCATGCTGACACATTACTGAGTGGAATGTGTTCAGCTGTCTAATGATAGAGTCCAGCGTGTAGGTCCCTTCATCAGCAATACTGGACGTTCTCTTTCGCAGCCCTGGTGGCTTTACCCCTGAGACGCCTTGAATAGTTTCATGCTCCAGCATTCCTGAAACTGCATTTGATTGACAACATTATTACTATAGCTGAAAAATGCCCAAATGTATACACAGTTTTACAAAACAATAGTAATTAATATTTATATACAAGGAGTAGACTGAGCTTGCTATTGGCCACCACTGTATCATTCCAGCTCTTTTCTAATTGCCCCACTAATTTCTGCAGAATCTAAGTTAAGTTTCCATTACAATTTTAAAAAGAGCCTAGTCTGTAGGGTTGTAAAGAAAGCCTGAATGTGGCTCAATACAGTACTGTTTTCCTGAGTCTTCAATTAGATAAGCAATAGCTCCAGTGGAGCAAAGAGCTGCTCCATTCAACTAAATGATGTGTTGATTCTGAAGCCTAGAGAAAATTTAAATGTCAATATTGTCTTAAGGGAAGATACGTTAATGTAATGGGCTTTGCTTAGAGATCTAGAATAAATCATTTTAATTTAAAAAAAATGTGAATTTAAATATCAACATTGTTAACTATTTCACTGCTGATAATATTATTACTTTATTACAAGCATTTATAAGGTACATCCAGCTATTCTGTCATTGTGTGTGGGGGGGGGGGGGGGGGAGCGGCAACAGAGTTACGCTTTCATTCTCTCTCCCTGATCTCTGCTTATACGAGTCATTTATAAACAGAATACTAGTAGGGTGCTTTAATATAAATGTACCACTTAAGGGAAAATACAAGAGATCACATACTACCACCATTCTCATTGAGTAGGAAGAAATTTCTTTTGATTAATGTAGCTGGAAAGTTAGAGGAATTTAATTTTGCCTTACCAATCATTGGCTGCAGAATATTCTCTAACACTCTGACGAGCTGCTGGTAGATCTGAATAGCCAAGTCACTCAATACCTGTCTGTATTCAGCCAAGTCAAAATTGGTGAGGCAGTGTTCATTCTGACGAGGTGTGTTGTGCTTCATAAATCCCTGAATTCACAAAACAATGGAAACAAATGCTTCAATGTAAAAAAAATAGCACGTATATTTTTTCTTACTGTAGGTGAGTAATAGTCCTTTGAAAATTCATTCCCATCCTCCCTCTTACATCCCCAAAACATTTCATTTAAAAGTTGGTTCTTATTGCAGCTAACACTTGGATTTGCATTTTGGATATGGATCACATGACTTCTGTCATAGGTCGAGCTTGACTTTATTATATTCACTGCTTTGCATTACATTCAGCATTAATGCAAGGAACCTACACGTCTGTATCTTGTCAGACATTAGCTTCAGCAAGTTAGCATAAGGCTTGAGGCCTATGAACTTTAAACAGATAAACTTAAAACAGATAAACGGCCCAACGGAAACGCCAGGTATCGGGGAGCTAAAAATAGAGTGTTAAAGGGGAATTTCTGACCACAGGAACATGACCCGACCACAAGAATATTATGGCAATGAATTGACATACTTAACAGGTACATGAGCTACATCTACAGATACCTAACCACAAGAGGGTCATGGTAATGAATTAACATATATGATAATAAACTGAGCTCACTGATATGCTAACCTGTAGGAGAAGGACACTCCAACATTAGTAAGGTGAGGAAATACAAATAAGGAAAAGGGGAAAAACCCTTGCATCAAACATTGTGGTGTCAGCGTATCATATTATACAAGTTGCATCCCAGCTTAGGGGCGGTAGGAGAAGGAGATGTAGTCCTTGGGAGGTGCCAGAATGTTGGCTACTGGTGATGAGGGGGAGGTGATGGTGATGAGGAAGATGATGGCTAACAGTTCAGGCTGTTCTACAAGGGATGGTGTGAGTATATGGGTGTGCAGATGTGCATTCTGTAGTATCTCTTTCTACCTTACTGAGTTGGGGTGTTTGTGACTGTGTAAATGTATTGATAAACTATTTGTAAATATATAAAAGAGTTCCTGTAGTGAGTGTTGCAACTGTGCACACTGGGGTTTCCAACTATATAATAATTTGAATAATACTGGGCCTGGTCTTGGGATAAAAACCTGTCAACCCTCAAAATGATAACCCGGGATTCGTAAGTAATCAATATAATTAATACATAATCTGTAGATCAGGCTACACTGCTTTGAAACTTCAAGTATCTGAGGCATTTACTGCAGTTACAAATAAGCCACTACCTTCCCGCTGCACAAATAAATAGTCTTTCTAGGCCTTTAAAGAATTGTATGACTAGACAGGCTCATTTAAAGACCTCTAAGGCTACATCTACATTGCACACCTCTTGCGGTATTGTGTAGGATAGCTACATGCTGCAATGAAAAGCAGTCTACATCCGCACCACAGCGTGTCAGTGAAAGGCTCTGGCATGAGGGAGGCAGCAGGGAGCTTCCGGAGCTCTGCCCTGCTGCTTCCCCCCACCAGAGCCGTGCCCCACTGCCAGAGTCTTTTTTACTGTGGTGGGGAAAGGCTCTGACAGCGGGACACTGCTTAGGCGTGTAGAGAGCATGTAGGGTACATACCCAGAGGCTTCAGGAATGTCTTTACTTGCCTAAGCAGTGCCTCACTGTCTACACTGCGATTTAGACCCATGTAAGGAGGAATGTAGCATATCTACTCTACATGCCGCTGAGAAGAATGTGCAGTGTAGACGTACCGTGTCTTTTTTTAATATTCAGGTAACTAATTTTGCCACCACCATAACACCTTTCATCTTGAAGGATTACAGAGCACATTAGAAAGTTAAACTAATATAAACACTACACTGAGGGAGATCACTTCATGCAGCATTGAAATATGGCCACTTCTGGAGTGAGATGTGAATAGGATTTACAAGCTTAGAGCAAGGCAGCACAATTATTCCTTTCCTTTTCTAAACAGAGATACAGGGCCAGATTCTCTCTCGTGGTCAATCTCCAATCAGTGCAGGAGAGTGGGTGGGTGGAAAGTGTCAGAGCCTCTCATTTTTTGGGCTAGTCGGTGCCCTGCTGTGAGTTTGTAAAGCCTCAGAGATGCGCCAACATACACCACTGGTGCACAGTCATATGCCAGTGGAGGCTCAGCATAGCTGAGTGAGCTCCTTCCCACATCCTGCATGGCAGTGGGCAGCGTCTGGTGCAGGAGACACTTATGCCAGCTTTGCGGCAGGTGAGAGATCCCACCCTCCAGTTTTATCTTGGGGAATTCTCCGTTGGATGGTTATGGAGAGAATCCCTCCCATAATATCTAATTAAATTTGCAGGAAGGAATCAGATGGGTAACTATGTTCTACCTTACTTGAAATGTGTCCAGGACACCAGGGCTAATGGGCTAACATCCTTATTTTTACAAATAGTGCCATGCATCTCTAACTACCAGAATTAGCTAAAACCTTAATTTCGTATGTATTCTGAAAGATGGCACCTCCAGCATGATGCCCGCTAGCACCATGCTGGGACACTGGTTCACTATGGACTTTCAGTGCCATCTACTAACTTACCACCACCTATTCCAAAACCCCGAGGTGTTTCTTAGAGATTCTGCCTATCTTTGAGTTCTGATGGGAACACAGATTGATAACACTGGCATGATGACACTATGCAAGCCTATCTGGTCTGGGCCCTTACTATGCCAGTCATCTGTCTTTCTTGGTCAAAGATCATCAATGATTTTGAATGGTCAAACGCTGTGAAAACAGTGTGAACTTGCTTGACACTATCAAATATGCCTCATTTGTGAACCATGCCATATCTGAACCCACCCTTTGAAGTTGAACGGTTAGTGCACATTAACTGTTGCACCTATTTTCATTTTGCATTTTAACAAAACAGTAAATTTAAGGGAAAGGTCTAATATGAATCATATGGTAAAAATTAAAAAACAGGAGTGGCACTTGCCTCTTCTCCACTATACTGCTTCAGACAGTGCAAAAATCGGCAGGTGTTAGATAGCCAGAAGGAGACCGTTTCAAAGTCGTCACCTCTTTTCTGAAGACAAAAACAAAGACATTTGAGTTTGGACTCATAAGACAAATTGAAAAAGAAAATGTTAGAAATTAAAACAGATAAAAAAATACACGCTATACATCCATTTTCTTCTGGTAGTTGTATAGACTTACCAGTATTGTAATGTTGATGTTTTACAGCTTTTTATGTACACTGCCATAACATTATTTGAAAGGCAAGTGTTTTTTTTAAATGGTGAAATTCATTTTTACCCTCTCTTAGAAGTTTCCATATATTATTTTTCAAACCAAATTTTTTTTTTTTTGCAATTTTACAGACTTTTCCTCCCCGTCCTGTGAACTGAGCTGAAATCTAGGTGACTCCTTTTGTTACTGCACTTTCTCTTACCAGTATTCACTGTGCCACAGTATTACTGGTTTCAGTATACCGCAACACTGAGGATAAGGATGTACAGCAGGGGGAGCAAAAACATAACTTAGAATTTGGAGGACTTTCACTTTCACTTTATAACAATTTTAACAAACCTGACACATGTCCACTTAAAAAGAAAAAACAAAGCCCTAGGCTTGCTTTGAACCTAGAAACTGGTTCTTGAACAATTAAATGTGAAGCACTTTACAGAATGTGCAGTAACTAATTTAACTAGACACATTGTTCTCCCTGGAGTATTCATATATTGTCTTAAGTATCCGAACTCCTGCACAACTGGTGTTTACTGAAACTTTTCCAGAAGGCGTGGATTGCTTAAATGCTTTTCAGAGTCATGGTAGCTGTTTTGTTTAGTGACTGAAAAATGCCCTGACAAAAACTACATATGGGAATCTATTTAAGTATATCAGGAGTAGGCAACCTTTCAGAAGTGGTGTGCCGAGTCTTCATTTATTCACTTTAATTTAAGATTTCGCATGCCGGTAATACATTTTAACGTTTTTTAGAAGGTCTCTCTCTATAAGTCTACATTATATAACTAAACTATTGTTGTATGTAAAGTAAACAAGGTTTTCAAAATGTTTAAGAAGCTTCATTTAAAATTA